CCTGGGTTCAGGCAATTCTCCTGCCTCAGCCTCCTGAGTAGCTGGGATTACAGGCACGCGCCACCATGCCCAGCTGATTTTTTGTATTTTTAGTAGAGACGGGGTTTCACCATGTTGACCAGGATGGTCTCAATCTCTTGACCTCGAGATACACCCGCCTCAGCCTCCCAACACACTGTCTTCTTTTGAGAAGTGTGTGTTCATATCCTTTGCCTACTTTTTGATGTTTTTGTTTGTTTTTGTTTTTTCTGTAAATTTGTTTAAGTTCCTTGTAGAGTCTGAAAATTAGACCTTTGTCAGATGGATAGATTGCAAAAATTTTCTCCCATTCTGTAGGTTGCCTGTTCACTCTGATGCTAGTTTCTTTTGCTGTGTAGAAGCTTTTTAGTTTAATTAGATCTCATTTGTCAATTTTGGCATTTGTTGTGACTGCTTTTCGTGTTTTAGTTAGGAAGCCTTTGCCCATGCCTGTCCTTGAATGATACTGACTAGGGTTTTCTTCTAGAGTTTTTGTGGTGTGAGGTTTTACATTTAAGTCTTTAATCCATCTTGAGTTAATTTTTGTATACCATGTAAGGATGGGGTCCACTTTCAGTTTTCTGCATATGGCTAGCCAGTTTTTAAAGCACCATTTATTAAATAGGGAATCCTTTCCCCACTGCTTGTTTTTGCCAGGTTTGTCGAAGATCAGATGGTTGTAGATGTGTGGTGTTATTTTTGAGGTCTCTGTTCTGTTCCATTGGTCTCTATGTCTGTTTTGGTACCAGTATCATACTGTTTTGGTTACTGTAGCCTTGTAAGTACAGTTTGAAGTCAGGTAGCATGATGCTTTGTGCTTTGTGCTTAGGATTCTCTTGGCTATACGGCCTCTTTTTTGGTTCCATATGAAATTTAAAGTAGTTTTTTCTAATTCTCTGAAGAATGTTAATGGTAGTTTGATGGGCATAGCATTGAATCTATATATTAGCTGAGGCAGTATGGCCATTTTCACAATATTGATTGTTCCTATCTATGAGGATGGAACGTTTTTCCATTTGCTTGTGTCCTCCTTATTTCCTTGAGCAGCGGTTTGTAGTTCTCCTTGAAGAGGTTCTTCAAGTCCCTTGTAAGCTTTATTTCTGGATATTTTGTGCTCTTTGTAGCAATTGTGAATGGGAGTTCATTCATGATTTGGCTCTCCGCTTGTCTATTGCTGGTGTAAGAATGCCTGTGATTGCTGCACAGTGATTTTGTATCCTGAGACTTTGCTGAAGTTGTGTATCAGCTTAAGGAGTTTTTGGGCTGAGATGACAGGTTTTTCTAAATATAGAATCATGTCATCTGCAAACAGAGATGACAGCTCCATGCTGGTTACTGGCCTTGAAGACCTTCAGTGGGACAAGATGTGGAGGTGGAGAACAGTGATACTCATGATCCTGACCCTGCTTAGACTTAGGTGGATGTGCGTGTTTGTGCCTTAGTTTTTAACAAAAAAGTTTTAAAAATAAATAAATAATAGAAAAATGCTTGTAGAATAAGTTTATAAAGAAATATTTTTATACAGCTATATAATTTTTGTAGTTTTTGGTTTATTTATTTGTTTGAGACAGGGTCTCACGCTGTCACCCAGGCTGGAGTGCAGTGGTGCAATCACGGCTCACTGCACCTTCGACCTCCTGGGCTCCACCGATCATCCCACCACAGGACACCAGTACTCCGGACAGACATCAGACCCCAGGTAGACCCTGGAATCAAGGTGTAAACAAGGCCCCAACAACCAGGCACCAGATGAACACCAAGGCCCTAGGTGGCCAGCATGCCCAAGTTGAACACCAGACTCATGTGGACATCAGGTCGCAGGTAGCCAACATGCCCTAGGTAGATATATAGGGTCCAGGTGGAATTAGACCCAAGGTACACAGCCAGTCCCCAGGTGATCACTAGGACCAGGTGAGATTCAGGCCTTAGGTGCACATCTAGCCTTAAGTGGACAACCAGGCCCCAGGCTGATACCCAGGTGCCAGGTGATCACCAGAACCCAGGTGGACACCAGGCCTCAGATGAACAAGAACCAGAAGACCATCAGGCCCCAGCTGGATATCAGTCCTCAGGCGAACACAAGGGCCCAAGTGGGACATAGGCCCAGGGCAGACATCAGGCCCTAGGTGGAAATCAGGAGGACATCCAGCCTCTGGTGAACATCAGGCGTAGATGTCTAAGCACGCCCTGGCTGGACATAACTGTGTACAGGTAAGGAGTTGACCTGGGGGGAGGGTCAGCAGTCAGCAGCCCACTGGAGTCCTGAGTAGGTCTTATGGAAGGAAGGGGCCGACGAGACGGAATCCTAAAGAAGCTACCTCACTTCCTTGATGACAGACCCAAACAGAACTTAGAACTCTTGTAACCAGGCGCCCATATCCTAGAGTCAGCCCCGTAGCCAGCTCACTTGGTGGGAGACACTCAAGAGAGCAAGATGTTCTCATGCTGCATCCCTATGAATCGAGGCTCCTGCTTCAAAAATGGTGGGAGTGAGAGCCTTTTCCGTCGCTGCCGACAAAGGCTCATCCCTCACCCCAGGCAACTGTGGCCTTTTGGACACAGGCGCCCCCAGGTGCCACAGGGCAGTCCAGGGCAGACCCTCACAAGCCAGGTTTCACCAGAGAGCCCATCGGGGTTGCATCTGCATATTGTCCTTGTCCAGCTGGAGATGCCGGAGCACATGGAGGCAGAGGCACATGGTGAGGTGGCCTGCAGTCTGGAAGACTTTTTGGGGGTAGTGTTTTGGGGCCGGAATTCCTTTCAATTCAGTGAAGTTGTTTCCACATTGGTGACTCTTTCACCTTTTTCAGCTCCTGAAGTACGAGAACTTGAAATACAAGAACTTCCAGTACCAGCTGTCCAGCCAGAGCCAACTCTATCAGAGGAGCTCCCTGCAGAGACATCACAGGAGCTAGAGGCAGCTCCACAGCCCTCCTGCCCCGACGCTGGGGCAGCCAAGGACCATCCCAGCAAGGAGCTGCCTGACAGCCTGCCACCTGCTGTCACCACTGGCCTCAGAGAGGGGGTGGCCAGCGCGGCCCCAGCCAGCAGCTCCAATACTGCCCCTAGTCCTGGGCACGCTGGGAGCCATGGAGGCAGAAACCAGGGTGTGCAGCCTGGGCTCCTCTCCCTCGCTGGAGAGAGGCTTCTCTCATTCATAAGAGCCACAGTCCTGCTGCTGCAGGACCTCTTTCTTCTGCTGGTGCTGGTGGTATCTATCTGCATGGAGGAGGCACCTAAGATCAGGAAAAGCGGCCTGCGAGGAAGGGTTCCAGCAGCTCCTCCTCCTCCTGCCAGAGGGCCTCCTCCTCCAGGCATGGAGGTCTCTCCGCAATTGGGTATCTGGCCTGTTTGCCCCTGATGTCCTGCCCAGGGTGGCCTCTTTTTAACAGATGGGCAGCGGGTGAGGGAACCAGGGGGCGGGTCCAAAAGCTACCGAAACTAAACCTTCCAAACTATGTCCCGGGCTCTCCATGCGGCCACCTGCCCTGGCTTATAGTCATAGTGTTAGAATTAGCAGTTCATGAAATAAACTTTTAAATAAAGTTTGGCTTTTGGAAACTTCATGTCTTTTTTAACTCTCTAATGTTAGATCATACGTTTCAGACTATCCTGAAAATTGCTGATAGTTGTGTCTTTTTGTTGTGGTTGTCTGTGTGAATTACCATCGAATCAACTGTTACTGGCAACCTTTCAGGTATGGCTTTTAGAAGATCCAGACCTACTTTTGCCTGTTTTGAATCTCTGGTTTATTGTGCAGAGAGGAATAATGTAGATTCATTTCTCCAGCAGATTAATCACGTTTGCCATCAAGGACTTGGTATTGGAGTTTCCAAGAATTATGTGTACAAGTTGGTATGCTGGTACTTAACTAATCTGGGTGTCAACACAGAATGCCATAGACTAGATAGCATATAAAACTTATTTATCACAGTTCTGGAGATGGTAAAATCCAAGGTTAATGGTCACAGCTTCCGTGTCTGAAGAGGGGGGGCTTCCTGTGGGGGGGCTTCCTGGTTCACAGAACAGCCATCTTCTTACTGTGTCCTTACATGACAGAAAGGATGAGGGAGCTCCGGTGCTCCCTTTGATAAGGATACCAATCCCATTCATGAGGTTCCTGCCTTCACGAACTTAATGACCTCCCAAGGCCCCACCTCCAAATACCATCACACAGGGAATTAGATTTCAACACATGAATTTGAGGAGGAAAATAACATTTGGTTTATGACATCAGGTCACCCCGAGCCATATGCACTCACAGGAAATCTATAATCTATTAATTATTTCCTGGTCCCCTACGGATTTTTTCTCTTTTTTTTTTTTTTTTTTTGCTTTAAGAAAAATGATCTTTTCTGTGATCCATAAGTAAGAGTGGTTTCTCTCTCTGCCTTTTAACAAACCCATTGGGCTGTGACATTCTAGGGGCCCTTGGCTGGACAGTAAGACCTGAGTAGTCACAAACGGCAAATACAACTTCTTGGTCAGTTTGGAGTGAAAATAGTGACAGTCTGTCTTAGTTCGCATTCTAGCTACACCACTCCTTCACTGTCAAACCCTACCCCCAACTCAGGAACTAAGACATGAAACAGTAAAAACCAAGGTACTAGTATCCAGCTGACTCTTCTGAATGCCTTCCTACCTCCTACAACAATTCCAGGCTGAGCATAGGGGTCAAGAAGGTAGCAGGAACATGATGATACGCTGTGAACGTCAGCCAGGGATAAGACAGGGTTACCCACTGGGGCTAGAAATTAGGGAGAAGCTAAGTGCAAACCAGCCCTAGCCTCCAAGTCAGTGAGCAACGAGACTGTGACAAAAGCAGAGAGAGGAAGCTTGAGGTAGAAAGGCAGGGGAAGAAAGCAAGCACGGGGCGAGAAGAGACTGTGCAGTTAAAGAAGCCAATCTGATGGCAGAGGGAGACTGGTACTTAGAAGCTCCTTTGGTGAGAGAGAATGAGTAGAGGACACACAGAGATGGGTAACAAACCTTTAGCTGGTCAGAGCCATTTAAGAGGAATGGGAAGAGAAATCTGGCAAAAGGACACATTCACATAGATCCTATCCTCAAAGATGAACACACACAGACATGCCTCCATGTAGAAATATGCTCAGTTACACACATAAAAAACACAAATGTGAGGCCAGGCGCAGTGGCTCACACCTGTAATCCCAGCACTTTGGGAGGCCAAGGCAAGTGGATCACGAGGTCGGGAGTTCGAGACCAACCTGACCAACATGGTGAAACCGTCCCTACTAAAAATACAAAAATTAGCTGGGCGTGGTGGCGCACACCTGTAATCCCAGCTACTCAAGAAGCTCAGGTAGGAGAATCGCTTGAACCCGGGAGGCGGAAGTTCAAAAAAAAAAAAGATGCGTGGAGAGCAAGCATACACACAGACACAAACATATGTCTACACATGCACTCGTGCAGACATAAACATACACACTAAACATGAGATATATATACACACTAAACATGAGATATATATACAAACTAAACATGTACAAACATGAAAGCATTTACACACAGACACACAGACACACTAAACATGCACAAACATGAGAGCATTTACACATAGATATGCACCCTCACATGTACGCAAATGTTACATCCTCACACAGAAACCCACAGTCCGGTGTGCACATATCCACACAGCTACGCAGCCATAGAACTGACACAGACACACAAAAATAAAGGCCGGGCGCAGTGGCTCATGCCTATAATCCTAGCACTTTGGGAGGCTGAGGTGAGAGGATTGCCTGATCTCAGGGGTTCGAGAGCAGCCTGGGCAACAAGGTGAAACCTTGTCTCTACTAAAATACAAAAAATTGCCAGCCGTGGCAGCACGCGCCTGTAGTCCCAGCTGCTCGGGCGGCTGAGACAGGAGAATTCTTGAACCCAGGAGGCATACGTTGCAGTGAGCCAAGATCGCGCCACTGCACTCCTGCCTAAGAGACATAGCAAGACTCCATCTCCAAATACACACACACACACACACACACACACACACACACACACACACGCGCGCACATACAGACAGGCATGCACAGATGTATCTATACACATAGACATATATACTTAGCCATACAGATACATACACACAATTACAGATGAAACCACACACTAACACAAAGGTGACCAGAGTAGACAAATACTATGAGCTTAGTGGCTTCCCAGACCTTCATCTCCCTGCACTTGTTTCTCATGCGCTCAGCCAACTCCTGGCGAGGCTGTGTGAGGCAGGAGCAGAAGCTTCAGGGTCCTCACAGCTTTGTGAGGCAAAAGTCTGATTTCAGTCCTGGCCTCTGCCCCTCACCCACCACTGGGCTATTAATGCCCTGCCTGTAGGTGAGGAATTATGCATAGACTAGTCTTGGGATTTTTTCTAATTGGCTGTTTTTCTCCTTGGCACCCCCCACTCTTCCACTGCCAACAGCATACCCTCTGCAAGGGATACCTGAGAAATGGCTGTGAGTCTCCTCAGACAATAAGCATATCCTCTCACCCACAGCTAACTCAAGTGCCCATCAAATCAGAACCAGAATTATAAATAGTTATAACCACCTTACGATAATTGGCAACGTATGTACTATAACATTTACTGTACCATAAATGCATCTGTTTCTCTGGTTAAGCATCTCTGAGGTGGAACAGTGTTCTGTGTTTGCCAAGGGAGACAGGGCCAGGACCAGAACACGCAGGATATAGGGGCAGGAGGTGGCATATCGTGGGGTTTCTAGTCAACCTGCTGGGCCCAGATCCTTCATGAACAGTGGGCTGTCGTGAGAAGCTTGCCAAGGTAGGCATATTGACTAGAGTTGGACTCTCCCCATCCTTAGCCCTGTGGTCCTTTGGCCTCAGCCATAGGCGCTCAGGGTCATCTCAGGGTGGACAAATGTGTCAGTGTCTTTGGCCTGACCTGATACTACCTGGGAACCCAGGCTGCCGGGGCAGTGAGCAATCTGCTTTCTCAGCCAAAGGGCTCTCCAATCAACAGCATTGCTTTTTCTTGCCTTTGTAGATCTGTCTGAGGTTGTCGATGAACTGGGCAAATTGCAGGTGGCCATCTTGGGGCAGCAGGACAGTCTCCCAAGCCTTGCTTAGAAACTCAATGAACTCTCCATACTGGTGAGGGCTGATGTGTGTTAGGTGTGAGAGTATGGTGTTGACATAAGCCTTGAGGGTGGCATCAGAAACTGGCTCAATGGAGCTTTGTCAGTGGATATGAGCTTTCCAGAGCTGTGGCAGTCTGGGTTGCCGGCCAGGCCAGGTGCAGTCACTGTGCAGCCTGCATACAGGATGTCTGAAAAGCACCATGGCAATGTGTACACTCTTCACCACCAGGAAGATGAGAACTGCCAGCCCCTTCTTGCCTAGAGAGTGGCTGAGGGCACAAGCCCAGAGCACATCATTGATAGCTGGGTGGGTATCCTAGTTGTTGCCCGGTTAAGATGGCTCATGGCCAATGAGGCCAGCTTGAAGGCAGGGAGTGTGTAGCCACAGAGCTCCACGTAGCAGGCAATGGTGAACAGCTATGAATGGGTCATGCCACTGGCAGCAGCATCAGTGGCAATCTGGTAGGCTGCCTCAAAGGCAACGTGGTCTTTCTCACAGAGTACAAGAACTGACAGGGAACAGCTCTGTGGATGCTTCATAACACACAAGGCTTGGGAGACTGTCCTGCTGTCCCAAGATGGCCACCTGCAAGTTGCCCAGTGGGCCAGTGTGAGAGCACAGCTAGCCAGTTCCTCCCGCTGTGCATAGTTAAGACTGAGGCGCAGGATGGTAATGTGGGACATGGCTGTGGCAGCTACACTACTAGTAGTCTCAGTAGTGGGGAAGAGTGTGTTCCAGCTCTGCAAGTTGCTCACTGGGGCCCGCACACCTGTCAGGGAGAGCATGAGCTCAGCAATGGCCATCTGGGTCCTGATTCAGGTCTGCACAGATTACCACGTGGGGTTGAACTTAGCCAGCAAGGACGAGTTCTCCTTCCTCCTCAGCAACCTTGAGATGATCTAAGGCAAACCAGAGCAAGGGAAGCATCCTACATGGCCAGACTCTATTTGGGGTCTCTTCCTATCCCTTCCTTCCCCAGGTCAGAGGGTTGAAAGTTTCTGCAGGTGTTCTTAGCCCATCACAAGTACGGAGCAAAAGAGTCTGTGGTTTACTTGGCCTGAGGCCAGGGATGCAAAACTGCCAGAGGTTCTAGCTGAAGTGGGGCCTCTCAGGGTAGAGTCCTGTGCTGGGGCTTTGGGCTTAGAAAAGGTCCTGAGTCTCTAAGGTGTCTGGGGTTTCTCACAAGTATGGACAGGGGCAGGGAATAAACCACCAGGCCCACTACCTCCCAAGGGTGCACTACAGTACTGGAAGCTGAAAATTTATTCTCTCAGACACGTCTCTGATGAGAGGGTCAAAGTGCTGCTGACATCAGCATACGGTTCAAGCAGTGAGGACAGAGCTTGGGCTGGCTGAACAGAGGCCATCTTCTCCCACCAGCAGCCCCATCATTTCTTAGGCCACCAGGAATAGGAATATGAGAGCTCCAAAGATTTACTGTCCTGTCCCAA